CTAAGAGTCCAGTATAGTCTATGGTTTCACTTAAACTGTACTAGGTTTAAGAAGCGTCCAAAATCCGCTAAAAACACTGCAAGGCTTTCCAGTGACTAATGGCTTTTTGCATCAGGCCAAAAACTAGTTGATAGTCACCAGGCTTATATTGTCCATTTCAATGACATGCATAGCTTTGTCCAACATGTGAACACTCAGGTATTTGTTCTGCTGTTTCTTTATAACTGGGTCCAGCACGGCAGGAATGGAGAATGTTGTCTTAGAAATCTGCATGTTACGGCTTTTTAAAAGACTTGCTTGAATACCATCATCACTTTTATAAGAGCAAACTACGGCTGAATACTCTGTTTTGTGTTTTAGCCAGCAAGACCAAAAAACAGGTATTTGTCAGCTACAATCTTCAAAACACAGACAGCAATTTCACCTTACTCATAGAAAACAGGATCAAAGAAGAAATGATGGCTTTTCCAGAGAAGTTCTGACTTTGCATCATTGTAAAATAACCCAAGTTTTTGTTTTAGAAAAACTGATTGCAATTTTCACACTGACATTAAGTTAGTCTATTTGTTTTGTATTGGTTTGATTGAATTTGCAGTTGTTATTAAATATAGCTGGACCTAAATACAGTTGGACCTGCTTTTTTTTTTTTTCCCCCCCAAATTTGCTACCCTATTAAGTAGAGGATAGGCGAGTAGAGTAGAAAATACGTTGCTATGTGAGAACATCATCGTAAAAGTGCATGCAGTGTCTGGCCTGCGTCATTCAGTACTGGGACCTGCTGGGAAATCCGTTCCAAATTCTACCTGTACAATTAATCTACTATGTAGCAGTAGCATTGAACATAGTATTGCAGCTTTTAGCGTTTGAATAATAAAAAAACCCACCCATGTTTTTGGTATTGAAAAGCTGTAACATAAAATGAGCATTACCTTGCTCTGTCTTCTTAGCCCCTGTTGGTTGTAGTACTAGTGCTAAACACTGGATTTCCTTCCATCTCTTGGGCACTGAGAACACTAGAAGGGTTTCACAAAGGGTTTTCTGTGCATCCCCGCATCCCCGAGGGCTATGTAGAAGGAAAAAGCACAGCTTGAATTTTGGAGCAATGGACAAATCTGTCAGGCTGCTAGAAGAGCATCATGTGTGTAACTTGAGCGTACTCATTAGAAAAATCAGAGCAGTCACTACCACCACCGCAAAGCATCCTGCTGCTACATCTCTGGACTTGCCTTTAGGTACGACAGATACCCTTTCAAAGGCAGGTCCATGTGCTACTTTGTTCAATGAGAAGGGCAGCTAAAAGTTAACTGTACAAAAAACCCCAAACCAACCACCGAGCCGATGGCGCGGTGACCGTTTGCAGCTGTCGATACGTGCTGTGCCGTGGCACGCCACCTCTTACAGCAATTTGGAGGAACACTGAGCGTAGCGACCCGATGAGCCAGTCCAGGTTATTTCTTTTGCATTACAAGTTGAGCCCCAACTCAGACAGAAGCTTCCGATACAAACAAAAACTACTAGTGCTGCTGCTAGACAGCTGACCTAACAACCTACAGAAAACTGATGAACTTACCTTGCTCTGGTGCCATAATCAGCAATTAAAACCTGTAACCAAGAGGTTGCTGAGGTAAGAAGGCACAACCCCTGATGAGTGGCTCGCCCGAAGGGGTTTGAACACCCAGTGGCTTCGATGTTGCAGATTTGACATGGGCGCAGAGGGCCCTTCCCTACCTGGTGAGAAGAGCTGCTGGTCCTTGGCCGGAGTTTGAGATCAGAATAGCAAAAAGCAACTGTTGGAGGGCATTTTCCTTTTAATTTACACCACCCAGGAAACAGTCAGCTATTCTTCTGTGATTGACTATAAAGGATAATTAGTTGCAAATCAATATGCTGATTTAATTAGCCTGATTTACAGTCAGCTCATTCTGTTTGTAGAGGAGGGTAGGACTGTTTGCTGAGGTGTCACTGACATTAGCTGCTGCCGGGCTGTTTCAGAAGTCGCTGCGAGGGAGCCAGACCAAGGAGAGCAAACTGATGGGACAACGTAATTTTATTCTGTACATTTACATACAAAGTTCTTTTCAGTAGGTACAACAGATGTAACATCATGCAGACATTTAGCTTGTAAGACTGTTCTCAGTACTTGATTTAAGCTTGTGCTATGAGGAAGCACCACCAGACTATTCATGATCAAAACGTACAGTAACACGATTCTTTAAAACTTCATCAGAAACTGAAATGGGGAGGGAGATCTCACCCACTAGACATAACACACCGTACTCCTTTCCTGAAACATTTTACACAACACATTTAAAATGAGGTTTGTAATTTTGTTTTTCTTACCAAAAAAAAAAAGAAAAAAAAAAGAGTTACAGTGGGGGAGATCATCCCCCCACTTAATAGTGTTGTCTTATGTGCCAGCTACAGGCGCAACTTGACTTGACATTCACAGAGTTCAGTTAATGGCACTTCTGCTTCCAATTTGGTGACCTTTAGTGTTTGGCTCCAGGAAGTGGCAACAGTTAAGTAAAATACTTCCATTAAAGAAAAAAAAAAAAAAAGAAAGCCTGCTCAATGAAACCAAAAAGTAAATCACACAACCCCCTTTCTGAGTGGCCACAAAACACTTGCAAACAGGCGACTGTCGTTATCCATTTGCAGCGTGTCTGGCAATGAAAGCAGTACTGAAATCTTAAAAGGGGACAAAACCCCCAAGATCAAGCATAATGTCACTTTCACATTTTTGTTTAAACTTACCAAGATGGAAGAAAGCCCTTAAAATGGTAAACCTAAAGAAAAAATCCACTGATGGGCTTAGAGGTTACTGAAGGTTCACAGAAAAAGGCCAAAACGGACAGGACAGCTTTGACCGCTTCCCCTGTTGTGGTGGCCAGAAAGAGCCGCCTGAGAAAAGCCTTTCCTGGTGATGGCTGCGGAGGAGCCGCGGCCGAGGAGCCGATGGTGCGGCAGGCTGGGGCCCCAGCAGAGAGCCCTGTCCTGCCGCAGGACTAGGCGGAGCAGGGCAAGCATCTCCGTGTTTCCTTTCTGCCCTCCCGCATCACCTGGTACCCGACTCCTCTGCACAAGATATGCTTAGCAAAAGCTTTCCAACTCTGTGAGCGCGTGTGGAATAAAAATAATCACAGAAGCGTTCATCTTTTCAGGAAAAGGAGCAAAACGGGAGCTGCCAAGCCAGGAAATTAGGTTGTGTTTTTATTGTCATGACAGAGGCAGAGGGCCAGATCAACTTGAGAAGTTGGGGTTCCCCACGTTGCAGAAGATCAGTACCAGCTACCTGGTTTCAGGCAAAAAACCCAAAAAGCAGCAAATCAAGTCAATTTCATAAGAATTAAAAAAAAACAAAACAAAAAAAATCACTGCATGTTTCTGTCACCTAGTTTGTTTACTATATGATATGTTCAAACAACCATTCTCTTCCCTGGGCCCATCTGTCATCAGAGAGCAACCACCAGAATAGGAAACAATAAAGCGCTGTGGACGACAGCGGTGAGCACACCAGGACCGCTGACAGTGCTGGAAGCAGCTGGTTTAATCGGCTTGTGGATGGGCTACAAGAACCGTACCGTAGCTTGAGCACGCACACATAGAGACCACGAACGAAGGAGCTGCTGGCTCCACGGCACGACGGATGGCAGGACGCCGCTCTCCACCTCTGCGCTCGCCCCTGCTCCTCCACTTTCAGGCCCCTTTCCATTAAGACTTGTTTTGCTTCTTCAGTTTTTTGTTGTGAACCCACTTTTTCCGCCCCCCTCAATATGTGTGGCTTGCAACAAGCATCTCATATCGAAGGCGAAAGTTATTGCACAAATTTGGCACGTGAATACTGCATGAATGGGGAGGGCCTAGGTTTTTTCCCTTAGGTGAACACAGACTGCAGAAGTCTCGGCGCAGAACAAAAAGAGAAGCAGCCACACTCAAGCTCAACAATAAAACTTGAGCATAGGGAAGATCGGGCTCTCGCTGTCACAGCAAGTCTAGCAAAGGTGAAAAATAAACAGTAGTGTAACTTTGGGCAAAACTACCGTCAACTGGTCCAGTGTTTCTTACCAGGCTCAAGAAGAACCCGAATGTCCACATCCTCTGTACAAAAATTAGCAGCTTTAGGACAACATTGTTACTCTGAACACAACAATCTCTGTTGCTTCTGGAGGTCTACCTGTCCCCTTGCACTCATCAGCGTCTGAGGCTGCGCTGCTTACTGCATTGCCCATCAGGGAGCACGTATCTGATTTATTGGGGCCTGTAAGAGGACATCGGCAGCCTAATGGAGGATGGAAATTGTTAGGTACAGTAGTTAATCGACAATATATACAGCAAAGGAGGAAGGGGGAGGGAAGGTAGAGGAGGAAAGTGCAAACGAGCGCTTTCCATGCGTACAAACGCAAGATGTACATCAAACAAAGTGGCAATCATATGGACACTCAATACAACATCGACATCCTGCTGCTCTGTTTGTTTGAACGTCTGCACTACCGAGCAACCACAAATGGATGGCCTGAGTGAGGAAGGAGAAGAGGGAGGGAGAGCAGGAAGGTTAACTGCAATGCAAGAAAGCTGTCTGCAAAATCCTTGCATTGAACTAGATCCTCACAATATTCACACAGTGAGAACCAAAAGCCGATGGCCAAAGGAAATAGTTGGTTTGCGGGCTTGGAGGAGAGAAGTCAAGTGGCCACTATCAAAGTGCCATCTGCACAGTACGAGACAAACTGGATGTTCACTTTGCTTAGCCTAGAGTAGGATCTATCCAATTTAAGTAAGCTTTTTTTTTTTCCTGAATGAAAATCCTAGAAGAGCAGTTGGGGAAGGGGGGAAATCTGGGGGAGTTCACTGTATATTCTTGGGTCAGAACCAGAAAACATCTCTAAAAGCCCCAAGATGGCCAACAGCAGACCGTAAGTCATTATTCACAGGCTATCAATTCATTCCTTTCCGACAGTCACTTAAGCATTTTGTCCACTTAAACTGAAAACAAAACCCCTGGTTCTAAAAACAGGTAAGGCAATGCCAGGACACTCATTTCCCAGGAGCGGGAATCCCAGCTGTGCTGCCTTTTGGAATAGAAGTACAGATCGTAGCCCATGCTTCTTACTTTTTGTCCCTGCTGGTCTGTGCTCTTCTCCTGGAGCAGTCAATCAGAGATTCTGGGACTCCTGGTAATTAAAGCCATTCTTGGCAAAACTAATTTTTGCATCATTGGTCAAATCATTTACATCATCTACATTACTATTAAAGACCAGCAGGAACTGTCTAAAATAGATTAATGGACTCTGAAAACGCAGAAGGCTGATTCTCATTGAAAAATCAGCTTGTTTGGGTAGGATTTTCTTCACTGCATTTGGTGGAAAAAAAAAAAGTACTAATTTAGAAAGTAACTTTTAAGTGCACATGGGCTACAAAAACAAACATAAGCTGCCTAAAATGCAGTCAGAGTCACAACAGGTTTTGCTTTTTTTTTTTTCTTCTTCTTTTTTTGGTGTATACAAACACAGCAGGCAACCTGGGCGCTTGGACTTTCTAGACAGGCAGAAGAATGTTGCACAAGTCTAAATTTCAGTCAATTCAACTTCGCAGTGGATCCCTCTTTCCTTTAAAGAAACACAAAAACAAAACAGAAAACAACCCCCCCCGTGGTTTCTTTCTTGGAATGGCTGCACCTCTTATAATAAGATGGCTTCATTTTTGTGATCTATGAAAGGAAAAGGAAATAAAGTGCTTCTGAGAATAAATCAAAATAAATATACATATTTAATGCAGGGAAAAAAAGAGTTCTGAAGGGCTACCTTCAGCCAGGTCTTTTCTCAGATTGAGTCTTTTCCCCCATACTTTTTCAAGAGCAATCTGCACAACAGTTGAAGATGCCAAAAGTTGCTTTAGCAGCAGAGTTGAATTCCCCCAAGTCTGTGTCTGCTCTATCACTGGTTTGTAAAATCTGTGCAAAACACCTTTGCCCAAAGTGCTGCTCCTCCTGCACAACAGCATCAAATAAAATACAAAAGAAAGAGGAGAAGGAAAAAAAAATACCCAACCAAAAAAAAGAAGGAAAAAAACCCAATCCACCCAGTTACATTGACTTCATCCCGTTGGCAGTGGTGTTCTCCGAGATCCCGTCACTCACAGCTGCCGAGTCATGGAGGCCAGAGTAATCCTTGAGTTCAGAGTTTGTCAGGAGCAGGGGCTGCTCCCCCTTCTTGTGCGGCAGGAGGGGCTGCCGGGTGTAATGTTCCCCGTCCGGGATGTTCTCGGGCAGGTTCTGGTTCTTGCTCTCCGGCAGCAGCAGGATGCAGATGATGCAGATGAGCGTACAGCAGGCGAAAATGACGTGGTGGAGGAAGTAGCCTTTCTGGTTGTGGAGCTCCATGATGGGGGCGGTCAGACGGCCGAATCCCGCGCTGGCCAGGACCAGCCCCAGCCCGCCTCCCCTGCAAACACAGCAGAGGTGAGACCCGGGTCCCACAGCCCGCTCCTGCCAGCGCAGCCCCATCGGCACTGGCGTGGGGAGCCCACAGCCCTGGACGGGCCCCCCAGACTACACCCCTGTTTGGCAGGCACCTGGGCGTCCGAAATCTCTAAGGCAAACTTGGTTTGCTCACAGCTTTCGTACTGCACAGTTACTCCAGTAGGGAGTTGCTTTGCTGTTGTAGATCATTGCTGCCTATTTGCCTCAGCGTGGGGAAATAACTCTACTCGCTTAAGTACCTCTTCACACCCATATAACTGCCCCCACATAAGGAGAAGAGGAGCTTTGTCGTGTGAGCGTGTAGACAGCCCTCCAAAGTATTCCCATATTCAGTGAGGGAAAACCAGATTTTTCTTAGCATGCTGGCCTTCTCTGGCTCAGACAAGACACACCAAGAAGCAGTAGGTGCAGAAGTCAATTCTGGCTGTCTTTGAAGTATCTGGCATCAATCAGCAGTGGAGGCAGGAGATTAGACTTCACAGGCCACTGCCTCGATCCATTAAACCAAACACTGAGTGCTGAAATATTTTCTCCATAAAACACATGTTGTGGCTGGAACCTGTCAACACGCTGATGTTGTAATAAAATGCATAATTTTCAGAAAAAAAAGATAACATAGCTAGTGGTCAGAATAGGAGAACAAGAGTTTGGGATTAATTTCCAAGACCTCCTCTTAACTCGCTGTACAAGTTGAGGTAGGTCCCTCACTTCACTCTTTCTTGCTCTTCTTGTGTATTCTTGTATCACAGAAAGGTTATGAAAAGGTTAGCACTGGTGAAATTATAAATAGGTAACTTTATAAAATATTCTTTATGGAAGAAATGCTTATTTATTAAATGCACTGTGCTTCTGTATTGAGATCATACATGCATGCACACCAAAAAACAGTGAAAACACATTAAAGGCTAACAAAAAAAGAGGTGTGAAAATAACCTCATCTTCCTCCAGTCGCAAGCATGGAATTTGCTTGTGCAAGCCACATTCAGTGCTCTCTCCTGATGCTCGGCTGTGCAAGCAACCTCTTTTGCAGTTCCTTGTCTTGGCTCATCAACATCTCTCCAGGTGCTGGAGCAGGCAGGCCTGGCACACCTCTGGCTGTATGCGCACGCTCACCTTGTTTTGAGGCACAGCTCGTGCTCCCGGGGCCTGTCCCTGCTGGGTGACCCCGCACAGAAGCAGCACCGCAAGCATCTCTCTGGGGTAGACCATTCCCTCTTCCTGCTGCAGCACGACCGAGATCTCCAGCCAGCAGTGTCACCCTCGAGTGACTTGTTTTAGCAAAATCTCTGAGAGCAGCAGCTTATCCTTCGTTTTCCAAAGACCCTGCTGCCTGCAGGGGGAGGTCTCCCCATGAGCTTAATCGCTGGCACCCTGCTCCCCACTCCCTTACCAAGCTCACCCGAGCAGCACGCTTCTTGCGGCTCCTCCAGGAGATGCCATCTATTCATTCCCAAACCCTCTGGTGATCAGACGGGCTCAGGCGCTTCAGTTCCTGGCCCAGTGGCAGAGATGTAATTATTAACGATAACCAGACCTTACAGAAGACAACTGCAAGAGGCAAATGAACTGTTTTACATCAACTACTTGGAAAGAAAAGTTTCATCAACTATTGAGCATAGCAGAAATCACAGCACTATAAACCTACAAATGCCAAATTCACTCAGCCAACCACCGTGTTAAAGCTAATCTTCACCCAATCCTTTCCAAAATCTACCGCTGCTTACTTGGCAGCTAAAAGGCAGCAAGCGCAGGTTTCAAAAGATGCTCTTGGGACACTGACTGGATCAAAAATTCACGTATGTACCTTCTAATTCTCCAGGCTTGGCAGAGCATCTTTCAGAGACAACCGTGATTTCCCCAAATACTGCAAAAGCCCTTATTAAAAACTTGCCAGCTTTCCGATGGCAATTAGAAACCCAGCTGAATGCAGCCATTGTGCATCTGGCCTCCCTGCAACTTCATTAATACGCTCACATAAGTAATCGACACAACCAGCCCTGAACGCATAGTAGATCACTCTCCAAGCTGGCTCTGGAGCAACAAAAGCCCGGCTCATTTACATCAGTGTTTGCTACGGCTAAATTGTATCTCAGCCCCTGAGAAGGACCCAAGGTGAGTTTTTAAAGCCCCTGTAGAAGGACATCAAGCAAGCTGAAAGAAAACAGGAAAAGGCAACAACAAAGATGGCTCTGTCATTGTGGGTCACGCGGCTTCAGATTTGGAGGGGAAAAAAAATTTTTCCATATGACGTCAGTAATTAGAGCAGGCGTTACTTTACCCAGCGCCATCAAAACCTGGCAAAAGAAGGCTTGAAAATACATTTTGGTATGTGTCCTAGAAAAATTTTTTTTGATGTTTGATTATACTGAAAGTATGAAAACGGAAAAAAAAAAAAAAAAAAAGTGAAAATACCGTCAGGAATTTTTTGTTGTTCATGTGCACATCAGGAAAACGGGTACAGGGCAAGAGAGGCAGCACCCTCATAATTCACACTGTTTTTGCAGGCATCATAGGGCAGCAGATGGAAACCAAAACCATTCAGGCTGTTTTGGGGCACCGTTCCTCCTCAGTACGAGGTCTCCCATGGCAGGGGGCCAGTGGCTGTACATCAAACGCGCTCCGAGGTGCAGAGCGGAGCCGAGGGATGGAGCGCAAGAGCTGCCGGCACCCACGGCGAGCCCCAGCTTCTCCCCTCGCACCTCCGCCTGGCAGCGGCTGCTCTCGTGGGCTTTGCCACAGCACGGCCCCAAGGGTGACGGGAGCCGCTTCCCTGACCCCTGCTCGCCCAGCAGCAGCGAGGCAGGGTGGTTTGCGTGAGGCTTGCAGTCCTGACACGGGCAAACTGCAAAGGGACCTTAGTCCAAAGTTTTGCCCTCACAAAGGGCCTCCCTGTTCACAGGGGAGAATTTCCTCGCTCGCTACCGCAGTGTTTTTTCAGAGAGCAGCAAAACATCCTCGCTGATATTCTTTGCTTGAACCAGGCTAAACCTAAGAAAGGGCACTTGCCCTTCTCAGCACTACTCTACTGATTGGCTTAGAGTAGACTTGGTAGTGTAGGTTAATGGTTGGACTGGATGATCTTAAAGGTCTTTTCCAACCTAAACGATTCTATGATTCTATACTCACACTCTACTCAGGGGAGTAGAGAAATGTTAATTCTGCCTTCAGGTGGCTGTTTGTCTGCCTTGAGTGAAACGGGTCGACACGCGGCATGGCTCAGAGTACAAAAGAGCCAGAGAATTACTCAGGCTGGAGGAGACTTTGGGAAAGCAACGACTCCAGCCTCTTGCACAGAGTGGGGCCAACACTGAATTCAGACCAGGTTTTTAGGGCTTTGTCCAGTCAGCTTAGCTACTTCTTGAAGTCAGTCCCTGAAAACCTCGACAAGTTTTCCCCTGCCTTTTCCTGCACGTAAGTGACCCTGTTGTGCGCTCAGTCCTAGGCCAGAGCTTCAGTGGCGCACCAGGACTCCCTTGGCCTCATGGGGCAAGGCACTAGCTTTGAAAGCCAGGCCTGGTTCAGGTCCCGGTAAACAAACACTGTACACCACTGGAAATTTGGCTTGAGACAGCTATTGATGGGTAAAGCTCCTAATTCGGCCATCACTGCCCACTCTTCATTCCTTTGGCCAGGTGAGTGCAAAAGCAGGACACGGAGAAAAAAACCAGATCTCTCTTCCACTTGGTAGTACCTGAGCATGCAGAGGATGGGGAGAGGACACACCATGCTTTCCTCAGCCTATTCCTGTTTAGTAGCTGTCCAGAGTGCAGTGGTGTTCCCATCAAGATTATTAGAGATGGATTATCGGCGCCACTTAGTGCTTACATTCAGCATTTGGAAGGAGCTCTGTACTGAAGCCCCTGACGCAAGGAACCGGAGCTCCTGGTGAAGCCCTCCTACCTAGCACCAGGGGACCGGGGGGGCAGTGCAAGGGTACGAAGGACCCCTCTGTGCCACGTGACGCTGCGGGACCTTTGTGTTTCTGGAGCAGGCAACACCTCTTGGCGATGAAGATGGCTGTTTTCCTCCGACACTGCTGTAACTGTTCATCTCAACGCTACAGCAGTAGAGCTGGACGGGCACTACGGCTTCTCCATCATGCCACCGCTACCCTGATAACGGCAGCGCTGTTTTCCTCCCTCAGGGATGGGGGATTACAGGTAAAGGATTTGATCAGGGAAACCCCAGAGATGGCCCCAGAGCTCCCTCTGCCTCCCTTTTGCTTAAGGTTCCTCGAGATTCAACCAAAAAAAAAAGGTGGTCTGAAACACTAAAGAGCACCTGAGGCAGTATTTTGGAGAACAGTTTATGAGGGAGCTGCCAGATCCCACCGAAACACAGGACACAAGGCAGCTTAACCACACCTCTGCCTGAGACAGGTTTATGCACCCTCCTGAGCTCCACCTCCTAATTACAGCCCTGAGTGGGTTTACCAAGAGCTTCATGGTGGTAGGACTGCAAAACACTGCAGAGTATCATCATCCCTTTTAATAAAGGGGGACCCTGAGGCATATCTAGCTACTGTCACTTGCCTGGTGTCACCCAGCAGAGTCAGGGAAAGCAGAATTTCGTCTCCCAGCCAGGTATTTGTCCTCTTCCCTGTAGCAACGTAAGTGATTTAATGAAAAAAGCTTGCTAAGTTCGCACTGCGCAGCTGACCCTACTTGGCAGATTCTTTTCTGGTTGACGTGGCCAACTCCTTATCTTTCAAACAGAGACAAGGTGAAAAATTAAAGCGGCATAAAAACACCAAACTGCCTTTCCCTGTGGAAATGTTATCTGTAAAGTACATTCACAAATTCAGATAGCTTGGAAGAAAAGGCCACAGATCAAGGAGACTCTGGCTACTCAGCTAACAGTTTTGCTATAATACTTTTGCAAAGTTATTGAAAAGGCATGTAATTTGGAGAAAAAAAAAAAGAGAAGAAATGAGTATCCTCTTCCTTCCACCCTCTCTCCCTCCCATCCATATGACCTACATTCCTGAAAAATTCAGTGGAATCAGGGCGGACTCCTGAATCCCTGTGGCATTGCTGAAAGCATAATCCAGAACACAAAATCACAACCTTTATGCTGTGAAAGATAACCGTGAATACATAAAATGGTACAAAAACCTGACTGTACAAAGACATTTTATGGGAAGCTCTCCAGTGAATATAATCTGCCTGATTTCTACTATTGCCCAGGATGAAAGCACTCCTCTTCATTTAAACTTTGAGCCTCTGCTAAGATAAATCTGGGTGCAAAGACAAAGATGACTTTATCTGCAATAAAGGCAGACCACTCATGCTGGTGCTGCTGTAGGACGGGCAGACTTGCAGAGCACCTACGTGCACCAAAAGCATTTAACCCTGCATGTTGCAACACCTCCTTTCCACCGAAGCACCCCTATAGCTGGCCTGATCAACCTGCCCTATGGAGGCAGGGATTGCCTGCACCTACGTCCTCCTCTGCACACTCGTGGAATTTCTCTTTTAATATCAAGCCACAGACTCACATGGTCACTGCTTGTATAAATCCAGCTGAGTAAGCAAGCGGAGCAGTAACACGGCTCAAATGCACGATCTAGTTCAGCTAAGTATTTAAGACCGTACTGCACTGCAAACGAATGCAATTCGTATGATGCCTGGCGTGTTGATAATCACCGCCATGGGACACAAGGTGGAGCCATCGGAAACAAAGCCTCCCTGCCTACAGACAGGCATTCACTTAGGCAGACTGACTGCAGTGACATTAAAGAGCGGCCCCAAAATTGCTGTGATGTCTCCAGTTATGGGGGATTTCCCCTCCCATACAACGTGTTAAGTTACACAGCCAGTTATCAATTAAATGAGGATAATTTTGTCCCCATCCTTTGAAGAGGGGGCTCCAACGTCTCACCTGATTACTGTGGGTGTGATTTCAGCACAGAAGAACACGCTGAGGCTTCCAACGGCATGCGAAGAAAACATACCCACGATGGAAAACGCGGTAGAGAATTTGTCTTTGACACTGTCACTCATACCTGTCAAGGCAAGTGTGTTCATAAAAAGTGAGAATGAGCCCAGACTTCCAAGGAAGAAAACAAGAAAACAGGTTTATGTTACTCATTCTCCCTAGACAAGAATTTGAGTCATTTTTGTAATACTAATTTAAAACTGGTATTTATAAAATCCATCCCCCAAGCACCCGAGACACAAACATACATGAAAAAAATCATGATGTCATGCCAAAAATAGCAGCGATCTCTGAATTATTTATGTGCAGCCACCACAAAAAGGTAAAACCCAAGAAAAAACACATCTTTGGGCAGTCTTTTAGGCACCAGCCACTTCCCTCCCACGTTTGACAGACAAGCGGAGGCAGGCAGCGTTCATCAAGCTGCCAAACATGCGGTACAACTCAGTGGCTTAGGCACTGGATAGACTCGCAGGGCAAGAGGGGAAAGAAATAAAAGTGCTCCCATCTCTGTGCTAAGCCCCTGCACGTGATCAGTCTGTGAACTCTGTCATAACCCCCAGCTTGACAGCCTTCGCCTGACAACTCTGGGCGAGAAAAGCTGATGCCAAGGACAGTGAAGCACTGCCCTAAGTCACTGTGTCCAGCAAGGCTGTTTGCTCAATCGTTTCACGGCTGGGCGGCAGCAAGGTTTCTGGGAGCAAACAGTGTCTATCAAGCACAGGGAGAAACCCCAGTAAATCTAAGCAAAGCTAAAGGAAACTGTCTCCTGGCCACGATGACAATACATCCCTCACTTGATCCCTGCTCGCCACCTTCTGCAGGCAGGGGTGGGATATCTGATCCAGGGTTGTACAAGCTCATGTGGTCTGTCCTGGCCAGCAAGAAGGCCGTGTCGTTCACAGAGACTATTGCGCCATACAAGGGGAACACGTGGTGCCTAACAGGAGTGCTGGGGAAAGGACTGGAGCTTTGCAGCCAACGCCCCCCACCTTCCTCCAGCCAAGTCCCAAGATCTGCCCAGAGAAAGGGCTGCTCATCAGCAGGTGCACCTTCTCAGCTGGATCCAGCAAAAAGTAATACCTGCTTTTGTTCTTGCTGAATACATCAGCTCTCAGGAGAGCAAAAGGTATTGGGGAGCTCTTAGGTTACAACTTCCAAAACATGCTACAGCCTGCTCAGGTCTAAGCCCTTTCTGCAGTGCACCCCAAGACTGGGGGAGAGAGCAAATCCTGCCAGCAGATAAGGATGTGAGCGTGGCACCTTGCAAACTACAGGTTTCTGAGGCTCCCTGGCAACACTTGGCATAGCAGGTGAGGCTGCACCACTGACCCTACGGGGAGTTGTGACTTCTCAGCAGAACAGACCTTGGAAAAGCTGGGCAAGGACAGGTCTGGTAGATTAAATATAGAAGCATAAATTTTATTCCCTTGTAGCCTGGCCCTGCATTGCTATTACAGTACTCCAGACTGGGATAAGGTGCTCGGAGAAGTATTTTCTAAGGTGCTTAAGCCCTCTTATCAGAAAGGACTCTGGCATCTCAGACCTTTCTGGAAAAGACTGAACTGAGGATGTTGCTTCTGAGAAGGAGACTTGCTAAGAAAGCCGTGCCCCATATCTAAAAATAAACCCCGGGGGACCTCTGCACCCTCTCTTGACATGCAGAGGCGAGTCAGACTATGCGGAGGGTGTGCTACACTGAGAGACTGCATACAAACAAACAGGCCTGCCTAAGAGTGGGGTCCCAAGGCACTGTGTAGAAGTGGGCTTTCCCCCTGCACCCCTCTGCGGTGGCAGCTCCGCTCTGGGTGGTTTGGCCCCGGCCTTTTGGATCTACCTGCTCCTGGGGGAGCGCTTCCTGCATGACGCAGACTCTTCTGTAAACCATACCTGAGTCTGGAAGTTGACTGTATTTTCCAATCACTGGATCCAAGACCACAGAAGTTAGAGTAAGATAAAAATAAGAGAGAAAGGGAGAGAAAACAAGAACATACTGTTATTACATATTTATTTATCCAAAGGAAAAGAAAAAAAATGGTAAATCCCACATGCCACCCTAGCCTCCCATACACTTCTCCTTTCCCATGCCACGACTGGCACATCTTCCCATGGCCACCAGACAGGACATGCCGTTTCCAGGCCCCTTTCAGCTGGAGGACAGCACGCTAATGACAGTGGTAACAAACACAGCAGTAAAGCATTTTTAAGAACCCCAGAATTCCACTGGGATTAACACAAAGGTGTCTTTGTCATTAATGAAAGGGGAAGAAGAGAAACTGCCCTCGTGCTGCAGCCCCAAGGGAATGGCCAACAGAGGCTTTAGTTAGCAAAACTCTGAGCGTCAGCACTGTCACACTAGTGGGAGACCTAATCCTCACCAAAAACCTGAGCTGGTGGTCCATGTGTCATGCTAGCCACCAGCTGCCGTGCGTCCTAGCTGCAAAGGAGCGCACGGCAGTACTGGGCAGCAAGGGGAAGGGCAGCGGCACGAGCTGGGCACAGCTCTGCTGGTGATCTCCCACCAGGCTCCTGCGACATCCCAGGTGACGCCCCGGGGTCTGGAGGAAGGGCTGAACATGGCAAGCCTGAAGGTCCACTGTGGATTTGCTGCTGATGGAAAACACCCCCTCCCCCTCTCACCTTCCTTCTCAAATTGTGACTTCATTTGCTAATGACACCCAAATAAGCTAAGCTAAAACACGCAGGAAGCTGTAACAGATTTCCTAATCAGCAGGGTCACTGCTTCTCTCCAAACAATGTCTAGCTCTTCTGAGGAAGAAGGAGGGCGTGGTCTAGAGGCGGGGGGAGACAAGCTGCTCTGAAGTTCAAGGCTGCCTTTTCCTCCTCTTCTCACAAAGAAAGGGGTGAGGGCAGAGTGGGGAAGGCTGACGGGTGCATGGCATCGAGAGAATTCTAGGTGCCAACACAGCAGAACGCGCCTAGAGCCCATCGCTGCTCTTAAGTTTTAGCAATTTTGCTCACAAAACCACCTAAACCCATTACGGAAAAGGTTATGATTCCTATAGGGTGTTCCTCCCTGCCTCCCTCACCCCTTTTTTGTTGTTGAAAAACCGCAACCAGATTTTCATGGCTCTGGAGCAGACTAATGGCTCTGGCACACTTTCTCTCTACTAAGCAATTGCATGTTTATTACCTCAACAAACATGTGACATCCTTAAAAAAAAAAAAAAAAAAAGAAAAAAAGACAATGAATCTAGAGACCCTGATGGACACCCCCACAAGAACACGGAGTTTCGGGAGGTCGCACACAGGCACAGTGCGCATCTGCATGTGAATGGTCACAGTCCGTCGACGGGCTGGGGATGAGGTGGGGCCAGGGGCCTTCTCCCACTCTCAGCTGGGACTGCTGGACATGGTAAACATGTGCTCAAAGGGAATGTAAACAACTGCACCAAGCTGGGAGCAAACACACGTGATTTTGGAGTTTCCTCCATGTTATGAAAGAGGTTCCCTGTTTCGCTCTACACTCCCACAAATAGTGTGTTCGCTAAAGGTTCACTTAGTAAACGCTTTCAGGAAACACAGTCTGTAAATATGGACAATTCTTGCTGGCTCAGGGCTGCCTTCAGCATGTGGGAATATGAAATCTTTCCATCCTCAATGCAAAAAACCTCTTTCTCATTAAAGCCTTTAATTATTTCTAAACTTATAAATGAAAACCAGCAACCACCAGTGTTCTGGTGTTCACCTCATACCCAGTTTGTCCAAAGCATGTCTCAACCTGCTTTCCCCCTCCTTGGGGTGAGGTTTCATGGGACAGGGGTCTAATGGTTGGCAACTGCGAGAGTGGCAAAGCACATTCCACCTTCCCTCTGCTTCAAGACCTCTCTGATCCATCAAGTTCCACTTCCTCAACCAACAGAAAATTTAGACAAGGAAATAAAATAAGAAAAGGAAAGAGAATATTTCTGTAGCAGTTTTAATAGCTGAAGCAGCTCAAGAGGGCCAGGGAAAGGTCACTGCCTGCAAAGAAGAGGTGGGACACTCTTGCTTTTGGCAGGAACATCCCATTTGAAAAGCTGCGTCACCTCACAAAATCATGTGTATACATTCACATGGACTATACACACACACCATGTTAAAAGCAGGGTCTTTCAGTTGCATATTTCCATGCTACCTGTAAATTACTTGCACATAGCAAGATGCTCAGAGCAGACAGAGGACATACACTTACTGCTTTAACTTCTGTTTGGTTTAGAGGCCATCTGAGAAGCAGACTCAGGTGGGAAAGTCTTCCCTTCCCAATCCCTACCCAGCTCTTTCCCCAGACGCTATTTCACTGAAATAAAATTAAAAGCGTTATTTTGTTTGTTTAAGTGACAGCCCTAGAAGCAGCACCAATGCTCAATGAGCTTCACCATGGGGACTCATCCAGAACATGATGCCTTTTGTTAATGAACCTAAGACAACAAGTGTTTGAGGAATCCTTCAAACAAATTCAGCTTCTTAAACTAAGCAGGTGTATGGCATGCCAAATCTGAGAGAGGCAAAGGAAATGCTAGTATTTCCTCGTCCCTTATTTGCCTGTCAAAGTCTTGCGGTCCTGAAAAGCTCTCATCTCCAACTACTTACAGTTGAGAAGGCCCAGCTGCAGAAGCGATGCCAGGGCTGTAAGGATCATGAAAAGCAGGAGTCCTCCTCTCCTCCCCAGAAACCCGACCACAGGGCACATGGCCAGGCAGGATGCCAGCGCAATCCCAGCCATGGTGTAGTAGTCCGCATAGAAGTTGTGGGTAATCGCCATCTTCGCTTCATGCCCCATCATGCTTTTTGCAAAACAGTGGTGTATGCCGTAACCAGTCAGCCTAGGGGAAACAGGAGAGGGCAGGAGGAGATCATTGCTGAGAAGGCAGCCGTGCACTGCAATGTAATTCAATGTAGGAACATGTTAATGCAGGAAGAATTTCTTCTGCTGCAGGAATACACCACCTAGTGCAAAAAGACTCATCTCGGACTTCTAGGTGCTACTGTAAAAACTTAGCAATGATCAAAGGTAGCAAAAGAAAAACCTCTATTCAACCAGACATTTGCAATCTACTGGCTTTATTCATACAGCTGTTGCTCGTGGTACAATCGGGGTACGAGCAACTTTACAAGGAGTCCTAGTGTGTGATTGGTTTTCCCAGTGTATTCAAGAACTCCCCTATCTCAAGAAGGGGATCTCTCTGTTCCCAGTGCATCTGCTGACAGCCACAGAGCCAGCGCTGCTGCGATGAAGCAGCCTGTGTGCTCGGACAGCAAAACACTGCGCGATGCACATGTGTCTCCTAGGAAGACCTGCCTGCCTGTGGCATTTGGTCATACTAAAGATTGCATCTCACTTCCCAAGCTAGCCTGTTACAACTGAAAACCCATTGGAGATGAGTATTTGAAGTCACATGTGCTGCAAAGATTATTACAATTAAGAAACAATAAGCCCTAATTCACTCTACACATTTACACCACCCTTCCTAGCAATGTCTCTCCCCTTCTTTTAAGTTTCTTTGTGATGCCAGTGATCAATGTCTTGCTGCTCCATTTCAGTCCTCTTTCTCCTGTCCCCCCCTGCCCCTCCAGAAAGGAAAGGGGAAAAAAGGGGGAAAAAGGGGGGAAAAAGGGGGG